TATATATATCTATATATATATATATATATAGATATATATATCTATATATATCTTTTGAGCCATTTTCAACCATGAAAAGGGCAATTTTTTTTTACAAATTTGTGTACTTTGATGTGTTAATTTAATTTGTAGCTTAAAAAACAGGTGAGGAGTTACTCTTTAATATATAAACTGGTCTACTCATCCAGTGAAAACAGTTGTTTAATGTCTTCCGTTCTGAAGGAGCTCTATCCAGTCTAAGAAAATAACCCTTATGATGTCATAGTGATGTTATCAGAATAGAGCGCCTCAGGAACAAAGTATGTTTGTCGGCCAACCTAATGAAGTTAGCATCGCACTGGTTTCCTCAACAAAAAGCCAGTGGGATTTTTCCTTTGGATTATTGCAGAAAATAATCTCTGTGGCAAACAAATGTTTTTGATAAACTTCACAAATGAACACCACTTTTCCAATGAACAGTCAGCTCATAGGTCTGTATTTCCTCTGCTTCTTGGTGAATGCAACAGCAATATAATCGATAATGCCATACCGGCCATCCTTTTCTGATTCCAGGATGTTACGGCGTGGACGGCGAGAGCGACTCGATCATGAGCTCTGCCTCAGAGAACTCAACAGAGCCTTGGTTCTGTGACGCCTGCAAGAACGGAGTGACTCCGAGCTGTGAGCTGTGCCCCAACCAGGACGGCATCTTCAAAGAGACGGACGCTGGGAGGTGGGATACAATATCACATTGACCCGGTGGTCAGCTGCCATTTACGAGAGGCAGCGAGTGGAACATGTTCAGAAACAAATAATGCCCAATGACCTCCGCTGGTTGAAATGCTGAAGGCAGTATGTGTACAATCTAAATTGTACATACAGTATATTCAGCATCGGAGAAAAAGGGAAGTTGGATTAAGGAGGCGAGAGAGAGAACTGGCAGAGGAATGAGAGAAGAGGATGGAGGGAAGAGAAGAGATAGAGAATGAAAAGGAGTGAGAGAAAAGAGTGTGTTATGTGAAGCGTGGAGACTTCAGCCACGTTATCACTGATAGTGCTCCTCAGCTAGGCTGCACCCGAATTTACTACTTCACTAGAGCATGAAAAACACAGCAAATTAAACTGTGAAGCGGTTGCTTGCTAGAGATGGATATCTTTATATTGGACTTCGGATTCTCTTCCCTAAAGTCCGCATTTGAAATTGTGTCACACCAAACCACAGCTAGAGTCTGGGGCTACATAAATCTATGAATCCATTTCTTTTTGAAGTGTCTGAGCAACTCACTGCAGCCATTTTCATGATGTGAAGTTTGTTATTGTCTGCAGTAATCCTCTAAATGCAAAAATAACCACAGCCATAGACTTTGATCAATTTGATGGCGTTGCTTGAAATCACTGACCGGAAATCAATACATTTTAAATGTCACCTTTTTCAAACTCGGGCAAGGCAAGGTTTTCATGCTAATGTGTTGTAGTTTTTGTTCTCTTGATCTTGAACAAACCAGTTCATCAACCCACTTGGTTTTCTTCCTCTTCATTCTTAGATGGGTGCATGTGGTCTGTGCACTTTACGTTCCCGGTGTAGCATTTGGAGACATCGATAAACTACGACCAGTGACGCTCACTGAGATGAATTACTCAAAATACGGGGCCAAGGCAAGTACTCTTTTTACACATTTATGCAGGTGGGATTATAAATTCATGTTCATGTCACATGTTTCACATCCTGCAGGGGCCACTTTTTCTATATTCTATTTGATCAGTGTATCATGAATGTATATCAAAGTTACTAGTTTATTTGAGATACTAAGTCATTCTTCTGAGATACCAAGTCATTCTTCTGAGATACTAAGTCATTCTTCTGAGATACCAAGTCATTCTTCTGAGATACCAAGTCATTCTTCTGAGAGACTAGGTCATTCTTCTGAGAGACTGAGTCATTATTCTCAGAAAGTATCATTATAATGACTTACAGGTTTTTATCACATTGACAGAAATTGGCCTCCATACTTGGGTGAAGCGAAAGTGCTAAAAACACTTCAAATCACTAAACGCAGTTGAACTCTTGCTTGAAGAATGAGATGAAGTTGAACTGTCAGGTGAAGAGTAAAAGATGAAAGCAATTGAAATGTCAGTTTATCTCTAAGCAGTGAAAATGTGAAAATGTGTCATTTTGCCCTTGAAATGTCAGTTGAAGTGGAAGTGCTGGAGATAGTTGGTTGCATTTCAAGTGTCAAATACAGTTGAAGTGAAATCAAAAGCAGCTAAAATGGAATTCAGCCATCATTGATTTCATTATTTACACCTGTCAAGTCAAAATGTCTTCTGTGCAAAAGGCCAATAGATAAAAGTAGTAACATTAAAGCAACATATGTGGTGATGGGCTAAAAGAAACCAGTGTTCGTTGCAGCTACAACTTGACGTCTCCCTGTTGTATTCTGTTGCATTCAGGAGTGCAGTTTCTGTGAGGACGCCCGCTTCGCCCGGACCGGTGTGTGCATCAGCTGTGATGCAGGAATGTGTCGTTCCTATTTCCATGTTACCTGTGCACAGAGGGAGGGGCTCCTGTCTGAGGCCGCAGCAGAGGAGGTGAAACTAATTCTACATTTCAGATAACATGCTCTAGGCAACTGTTTAAATGACAAACCAGATTGAAGCAATATTCAAAGAGTTATGGTCTTATGATGTAGGTAAAAAACACCAAACACATGTAAAGACCAGCCCTGTGAGTCTTGTCCCTCAGCTAATCTGTGTCCTCATCACACGGGAAGGTCAAAGTTAGGTACTTTAATTACCATATTTATAATTTACATTTGACTTTCAGGTTCACAACACCAGAAAGATGTTATTTTTCCTTGTATGATCAACAAAGCAAAGTTATTATTTGCCTCACACAGACAGTGAAACCTGGTATTTCTGCACAGATCAAGATCTGGCTACACTGATGTTATTAGTATTATACTATTTGTAGAATTAGATTCCAGTCGTGGATGCATAGGATTGTTTTCTGCTTGTGTGATCTAAACATATCCAATAACTCCAGAGAATCATTTCTTTTTGTTTTTGTTTTTATCTAACAAAAGATTCTGCCTCAATCCATGTTTGTTGGCGTTTAGCCTTTCAAAAACATTTTCACTGTGGCCAAAAAACAGTTTATATAACCTGAATAGAAGCTTTTAACGTAAAGAGATGACATTCTGTTCAGCCCTAAAGTGTGAGTTGATCAGTTGTGATATTGATTCATGGATATTAGCTGCAAACAAGAAAAAGCTAACAGAAGCATTTTGAGTTCCAACAGTTTCATTGATAATCACTACTATCTATATATAGAGAATACATATAGAGAGTATATATTGGGGGTTGTCTGTCCATACTTCTGTCCGTCTGTCCGTACCACTCTCATGAACAGGATACCTAAGAAACGCCTTGAGGGAGTTTCAATACATCGGGCACAAATATCTACTTCAAACGAAGGAGGAAGTGATTCGAATCTGGAGGTCAAAGCTCACTGTGACCTCACAAAACACATTTTTAACCATAACTCAATGATTCGTATGCTAATTATGACAATTTCACACAGATGTCTAATAGGATAAGTTGATGACGTGATGATATTTTGGACAGACGTAAACTGAGCCGGTAATTCTAGTTTTAATAAAGTATTTCAACAAGAACTGGGGTTTTAACACTCATGGTCCATTTTGCTGAGCAGTTCATGTAAGCACCAGACATCGTCTATTTCTGCACAATAAGCATCCAGAAAAGTGCCGACTGCAAACCACTTAATCCATTCAATCGCACTAAAAGGCTTCTATCAACATGCTGATGTCATCCACGGCAACTAGTTCGGTTTAAATGGTTCCAGAAGGCCAGCAGCGAGAAAAACTGCTTCTGCTCTTCTTTGTGTGTGAGGAATGAAGGGGACTGGGTTTTAAAATGTCAGTGTAGTAAAAGCTGTAAACGATAGAGTTCCCATTCTTTACCTATTATTACGACTGTTAATGCATGCGTGTGTTTCTGCTTCCTCAGGATATTGCCGATCCGTTTTTTGCGTACTGCAAACAGCACGCTGACCGCTTTGACAGGAAGTGGAAAAGGAAGAATTATCTGGCCTTACAGTCGTACTGCAAAGTCTCTCTGCAGGAGAGAGAGAAACAGCTCACTCCGGAAGCCCAGGTAATGTTCATTCATTCATGTAAGCCGCAGCAGCCACATGTCAGAAGAGCTTTTAAACATCTGCATGTGTGTGCGTACCTCTATTTAAACATGCTCATATGACTCAACAAGGAGAAAAAGATGAGGTGAAGACTAGGTCTGGATTATGGTTAGGGTTAGGGCTGGAATATGAGTTTAGCGGTTCATACAGTTGTGTGTAAAGATGTGTGTATCCTACCGCAGGCTCGCATCACTACCCGCCTGCAGCAGTACAGGGCAAAAGCAGAGCTGTCCAGGAACACTCGGCCTCAGGCGTGGGTACCCCGGGAGAAGCTGCCGCGACCCCTGACCTCTAGTGCCTCAGCCATCAGGAAGCTGATGAGGAAAGCTGAGCTGATGGGCATCAGCACCGACATTTTCCCCGTGGACACGTCCGATGCTAGCGCCAGCTTGGATGGACGCAGGAAGCACAAGCAGCCCGCCCTCACAGCAGACTTCGTCAACTACTACCTGGGTGAGGAAATGCGTAGTCCGCTTCAGTCACTGCAAGGGTGTTGTGTTCTTCCTCTCAGATTGTAGAAATATAACACTTTAAAAGTGAAATATAAAAAAATGACTAATAGCACTAGTGGGGAGTATTTCCAGATACTAATTATCCTAATACTGATACTAATTATTATTATTACTAATTATTGTTTTAGAGTCACTTGAGAAGCTTTAACCATTTCCCTGCCATTCTTTCTTCACCAATGACTCTGGAGACAGGTTTTGTAGGAGAGCTGCATGATATATTGTTTCGACATTGGGATGTGTGCAAGCGCAGCAGTCGAATCGCCTGTATTCAGAAAGCAGCAGCGACACTAGCAGCACTGATATCATTTTCTTTTCCTCCTCCGTTCTCCTTCAGAGCTGCCTGAGGTAGAGCTTAAAACGTGATGCTTATCTGTAAGCTCGCTGACAGTCCCTCTTATGGCTGTCCCGTGCTCCGTGCACTTGAATTTATGGATATGCATTTAGAGCATCAATAACAATTCAAAGTAAGAAACTTCTAATCGTTTTATAATCTCTTATTTTTAGATCTAAAGTGCAAAACGAAGTCCGGTGTCACGATTGAAATTTGATCAAAGCTGAAAGGGTTTTGTATTTATCTCCATACTGTATATAAAAGGTGGTTAAAGGGATAGTTTGGGTGTTTTGAGACGGGGTTGTGTCAGGTACTTGTACATAGTCAGTGTATTACCGACAATAGGCAGCGGTCGGCACACCTCCAGTTTGGATAAACAGGCAGGACTAGTGTTTCTCGAAATTGGGGGCGTCCCGTCTACTGTAGGTAATACACTGACGATGGATAAGAACCTCATACAACCCCACTTCAAAACACCCGAACCATCCCGATTGTTGATGCTGTGAAAAAGCGTTTTTTTTCTCCCCAAATAAATGATTGTGATGCCAGATGTGTGAGATGCCACGCCAGTAACCTTGAGAGCATACTCCATTAGCCTGCAGCAGAGGGCCTATCTGCCATCAGTACACTCTCTCATGTGCGTTTCCTGTATATATAGATTGTGATCGTGCTATTGATTTTTGTCCCATTGATATTCAGAGCGAAACATGCGAATGATCCAGATCCAGGACAACATCTCTGAACAGAAGAACTTAAAAGACAAGCTGGAGAGCGAGCAAGAAAAGCTGCACGTGGAGTACAACAAGGTGAGCAACACACCATGGTCATTTCTGCTGCATGGAGTGCTCCAACTCATTTAATATTGCACTAAAACTAGGTTATTTATAGGTTGTTTACGAATAATATTTAACGTACGTAAAATCTGATTAAAAGAGATGTATAATGCAAAAAATCATGGAGAAAATAGAATTCCAGCAAGAATCTACAGCCATGCCAGCAGTTCTTGTGTTGATGTTGAGGTTTAGCAGGTATACTGTTTGCTAAGATCACCATCTTGGTGTGTTAGCATGCTAACATTTGCTAATTAGTACTAAATTCAGTATTTGGTCATACATACAACATAGTATTGGCTAAATTAAAAATGTTGACCTGATGATAGTGCTGGAGGATTATTTATGGGATCGTTAAAGATGTGACACCCTGAGGGGAACACGTATGTCTCTACCAAATTGACTCTTTGCTAAGCCCCGCCCACTTGCTGCGACTTCTTCAAGCTGTTGGAGCTGCCATGGAGCCCACACTGTCACTAACTGCACACCTGCCTGCATCAATAGTATCTGCATTAAGCGGCGCACAGCATTGCCAGTTTCAGACCGACGCAGTTGTCAGTGTCTCGCTCAGCACCCAAATGTACTTGCGGCCATCTATGGTCTTAAAAGGAGGTGTGGTCAGGCTCATTGTTGGCGAACAAAAACCTGATCGAAGGTCAATGCTTTTTGGCATTATTCGTATACATCAGCATCAGCAGTGCTGCTCTATGTGTTCAGTTGAAAGTGCAATATTAATAAGTGAGAGAATGTGTCAAATAGAAAACAATCAATTTGTGAATTGCCAGCGGCATTTGGTAATTCTTTCATCTTATATATTATGTAGGTGACCATCTTACCTCGGTTTCTTATGGACAAGGCTTAGCTTAGCATGTGCAAGTATCACCACATCAGACATGGCCTCAGTATGCTGTGTTCTCTCATCTCCCCTCAAAGATATGACCTCTGAAGAGGCTGCCGCTCCATCTGTCAACATGAGGAAGGGAACACAGCAGCAGTCACAAGAGTTAATGTCGCGTTCAGTCGTCTGCCGTGCGTGTTAAGCGTTATTAATGGAGTGTGTGTTGCTAATTGCACTGCCTGAGTTGCTCTTACATGGCTGTGGCCTTGGAGAGAATGCCAGTGGAGGAACGTCATTACAAGTCTGGCTTTGACTGATATGAAGTAGTACAGCCCAGTACAAGGTTGACTTTGTGACACAAGGCTCAACTCTTGCAGATCATATTCATTAAACTGTTACGTTGACTGCAGAATGTGTTTAAAGGTTCACCTGCAACATAAATGGTGCAACTGTGCACATTCTAACATGTATAAGGCTACTCTTCTACCCAGGCGGCAACCTGCGGTTCTGCCAAGTGAAGCCAATGCAGAAGTGTTTCAAAAATGTCATTCTCTCTTCTAACCACCAGGGGGCGACTCCTCTGGTGGTATAGAAGTCTATGAGAAAATGACTCTACTTCTCTCTTGATTTATTACCTCAGTAAACATTGTAAACATGAGTTTGTGGTCTCAATCTCTAGTTTCAAGTCTTCTTCAATACAGCATGATGTTCTTTTAGTACATTATGGTCCATTCAGAGTCAGGCGGGGCTACACAGTGATTGACAGGTCGCTGCTGCTACCAGAGCTGTAAACGATCAATCCAAGATGACGACGGCGAAATTGACGAACTTGAGGATTCAAAACATCAGTCCACAAACCAATGGGTGACGTCACCATGACTACGTCCCCTTCTTATACACAGTCTATGGTTCTACCCCTGTTGCTGTGAGCCAGCTGATTGCACTACGGAGTAGCTTAATATCAGATAGGCTTTTGATTGTTTTCCAGATGAAAGAGAACATTATTTAAAATCACACTGACATTTATTATAGTTACGGGTGTAAGGGTAAAAGTACACAAATGATGGTTTGGTACAGTGGCTTTGATCCATTGAGAACAGACAATAGTGCAAGTCTCAAAGATCTACTGGTCGCTTATTTTTACTGAATATCTGATGTTGTCGACTGGAAACTCTGGTAAACAGTTTTTATTATTAAAGGTAAGGAACATTTCAAACACTTTCCCTAAATGCACCAGGTCACAATAGGCTATATAACTGAAATGAAATGTCATAGCATAAGATATACGGTTTGACTTCATATTTAATGCACTGTTTTCATATGCTTAATAGAATGTGAGTGTGTGAGTGTGTGGGGCCTCACCTTGTCTCCTCTCCCCTCCTGCAGCTCTGCGAGTCCCTGAAGGAGTTGCTCAATGTGAACGGGGAGCTGCGGAGTGAAGGCCAGGCCATGTGGACTCTGCTGGGGGGCATCCTGGGCCAGGTACCACCACCATCACTGCCTCTTCACACACCATCCCACACTTCTTCTGTCCTGTTCTCCACACACATATCAGCTGTTGAGAAAGTTTACAGAACACTAGCAATGGTTGTGGGTTAATCATATTGGGACTAGCAACCCGCATGGCCAACAGTGGTGTGACACTGCAGTCTGTAATAACCCTGCTTTTTATACTAATGCCTTCACTTTGCACTAACTGATTGACCTGTCATCTGCCATGAAGTCAGACCTGACTGTGGGAAGTAAGAGCCGTCTCCCGCTTCTCGTTCCTATGGTAACCAATTCCAAAGATGTGCCACTATGGCTGATGGGTTTTTTAATGAATGTGAACTGCAATCTACAAAAATAGACTGAGAGCTTTTATGGGGGGGAGACAGGCTACAACTTGAGTTTACCCACAGCGTTCAGGTGTATATGGTGATAACACCACTCCTTTCTTTGAACTAAATCTTTTATTTCACACTTTCTGGCACACAAATATGGAGCCCTAAAGAGTTTAGTGTAAAATATAAATCATGAAATAAATGATGAGATTAATCAAAAGGGTAAAATATATATACATATGGAGTGATGTGTTGTTCACATACACTGCCGTTCAAAAGTTTGGGGTCACTTAGAAATGTCGTTAAAATACATAAAATGAGTTTAAATAGGAATAAATGTCATTGACAAAGTTAGAAATAATTTTTTAATTGAAATACTACTTTCATCAAAGAATCCTCCATTTGCAGCAATTACAGCCCTGCAGACCTGTGGCTTTTTAGCTGTCAATTCAAGAGAGTTCTCCCCATGCGTCCTGGAGCACCTTCCACAAGTCAGATTGGTTTGATGGGCACTTCTTGCATCCCATACGGTCAAGCTGCTCCCACAACAACTCAACAGGGCTGAGATCCGCTGACTGTGCTGCTCCATGATAGACAGAATACTAGCTGACTGCTTCTTTGCGAAATAGTTCTCACATAGTTTGGAGCTGTGCTTTGGGTCATTGTCCTGTTGAAGGAGGAAATTGGTTCTTTGTTTCTGGCTATTTTGAGCCTGTAATGGAACCCACAGCTGCTGATGCTCCAAATACTCAACTAGTCCAAAGAAGGCCAGATGTATTGCTTCTTTAATCAGCACAACAGTTTTAAGGGTTTTCTGATGATCGGTTATTCTGTTGAGATGATCACCTTGCATCAGCAGACACAGCTTGTCATTGGAAGACGGGACTAATGGCTGCTGAGAATGGGCCTCTGTAGGCCTAAGTAGATATTTCATTAAACATCAGCTGTTTACAGCTACAGTAGTCATTTACAACACTAACAATGTCGACACAATATTTCTGATCAATATGATGTTATTTTAATGGACAAAACATGCTTTTCTTTCAAAAACAAGGGAATTTCTAAGTGACCCCAAACTTTTGAATGGCAGTGTATATATGGCAGCCAAGTGAACGGTTACAGACAGACAGACCACTAATCTTCTAGAAGGATGTAAAATCACAGTGTAATTATTGACTCTGTGTTTCACATTTAACATTTAGAAAGCTTCATCTAATCGTGCAACTTCAAAACAAAAACGTCTCTTTCTAAGGTCTTTTATGAGATCTGGACAGTTTCAAGAGAAGAAAACCATGGATCAGGATTTTGTTTATTACTTCCTTTGTCTCATCTCAATCTCAAATAACTTTGTGAAAGATGCAGTTCAGAGGAGTACAACAGGCACCGGGAGAGGAGAGGGAAGGACTAGTTCCTCAGCTTCACTGTATGTATTTGAAATAAATGAAATCCCCCACTGAGAGAGGTAAAAGGTGATTGTAATACAAGAGTTTGAGATCCCTGTTCTAAGTTAAACATTTGTTTTCAGAAGCATTACTATAAAACACCAGGACTGAAGGAAAATGTCCATATATACATTATTTCACCATATTGTCTCACAGCTCCCTCACAGTGGTCAGTTCATTGACGTACAGCCTACAATAGTATCTATGTAGTACCACGCAGTCTCCCCAGCCTCTATAAAGATCCAATGAATTTAGTCACAGTGGGAATTTCCCATACTTTTTATGTAAACCAATTAACCAAGTAAAAACCAGCTTAAAACTGCTATAAAAAGACTTCTCCCCTGTCGTCCCTGCTGATCTTTACTTCAGAGGGCAGTAATATTCTAAATAGAGCATACACTTCAAGTGATATAGATCTTTTAAGCTGTCTTCTCTTTTGTGATTCAGATCATTTCAGTCGTTTAGACATGTATTTGTCCTCACGTTGTGTTTGTTTTGGTTTTCCTCAATGACAATCAACCTGATGTCAGAAGGGCCAGGCTACCATTGGCTCGAGAGAGCTGGGGGCGGGAGGTAGCTGCAGGTACAGTTTGATAGACACATTCCTCAGCTTTATTGTGCTTACAGAAAGCGTAACCCAGTGAGACTGCAGTTACTGCTATTGGTTACTCCGAGATTTGGGCCCACATTTCACCTCCCTTGCAATCGCCAAGTTCACCTATATGGAGGCGTCGGCGCTGCTGTGGTTAGCTCCATTCTTAGCTCTGTTGTCAATGTCTGTTATTTCTGACCACTCATTTGCTGTCCCCCACATGTTAGCCTATTCTCCAACATGGATTTGGAAAAACGAAATAGAGTCTCCTTGTAATGTTCCCCCAGCCACAAAGACTCACAAGAGCTGCCTGGCAGCATTGTACTTCAGTGAGTGCAGATCTAGCCAAGGTGATCAAAGCCAGATCAGCAGAGCAATGTTCAATACCTGTCAACATCTGCATTGAAAAATAACTTGCATCCTACCCTGCTATTATTCTCCCCCCCCCCCCCATCCTTTCCAGCAAGTCACTCTTCAACATCACATAGCTAAGCTGATTTTAATGCAAAACAGGTTTACCCACCCAACCACCCCACATACACAGTCCCTTGAACTGATGCCCCACTCATAAATCCCAAAACCAATATTACCTTTAATTGTTCATGATTATTTAAATTATTATTGGAACACACATAATAACACTTTCTAAAATTATCAATGTCGTAAAAAGAAAAACAGGATTATTATTCCTATTTCCACTTTTATTTGAATGCAAGTACAAATAATTACATATGCATATACAGGAAAATATAAATGTAATCAGGAAAAAACTACAATGACCGAAAATTGCTATTTTTAGAGTTCCCCCTACATTTTTCAAATGAGACTTTCTGGGTCAACCTTTACAGGATCAGCAACAAACGCATTATGCAGCAACAACAACCACCATGCATATATTAACGTAGTGGATCAGATGACTGTTCATGGAGGCAAAGACGTTACCAGCTGAAACTGTCGAAACTCCAACTCTACCGACCTATGGTGCTACTTAATCACTCGCTCACTCACACACAGGGACTTTGTCGTTCATAGGGTCCCCCGCTCTGCAGCGGTCCCAGCCAGGAATAATACATGACGTGGATGATACCTATAGCTTCATGCATTTTTGGTTGTCCATAACATTTTTAGACAGTATTTTCTAGTTAGTGTCTTGACTTCTAAGATCAGAGGAAGTTGTTAACTCTGACCCTTTAACTAAAACTATTATTCATTATTTCCACTTTGGTGCCTGCTCCTTCGGGGTTTTTATGTATATAAGTACCAGCTAAAGCCATAAAAAGCCTTATTAAAAGTATGGTCGTTGAGAGTGTGAGCCGTGTGGATAAATGGTCAAATAATGCTAATGCGGTGGCGAGGCAGCAGAATGGACGGGAAGTAGAAGGAGACTGGCAGTGAATCTGCAACGACCACCATAAATCACCTAATTATGAACACGTACGATTTAAGTAGCTACATCAGTCACAGCACTGCATGCTTTTGTGTCATCTATCTGACACATTTTCATCTCCTATTTGTCATCCTGCCTGTGCATTTGCAGAAATTATTGATGTCCCTGACCGGGACTCTGATCCCTCTTCCAGTTCACAGTCAGAGCTTTTGTTCCTGATGCTCCTGGCAACTTCACAAGACATTTTCCACCAGCCACTTTAAAATGCCACAAGGGACGAACAGCTACTGGGCAGCAGATATTATAACGGGGATAAGTGTTACAGTGTAGTCCAGTTTAGTGTCCATAAACAGAAAAATAATTGCCAACTTGTCCTGCATGCATGGTCTATTAGCATCTGGAGCAATTCAGCACTGAAGGTGCTTTTAATTAAATTTCAATTAAATTTATTTGTATAGCCCAATATCACAAATGTGCCTCAGAGGGCTTTACAGTATGTACAAATACGACATCCTCTGTCCTGGGACCCTCACATCAGAACAGGAAAAACTCTCCCAAAAAATATCTAACAGGGAGAAAAGAGGAAGAAACCTCAGGGAGAGCAACAGAGGAGGATCCTCTATCCTATCAGGATGGACAGAAGTGTGATAGATGTCATGTGTACAGAATGAACAACATAATAAAGACCATATGATAGAAGTGATGCATATAATGACAGTAGTAACAGCAGTAGTAGCACTAATAACAGAATAATAGAAAAATGATGACAACTAATAATAACAGCAGCAGTGGATATAATAGAATAATAATGATAATAAAAGCATTAATAGTATCGGTAATAGTAATGTGACTAATAATAATGGTAGTATCAGTGGGTGTCAGCAGGACCACGGTGGGCCAGGGTCTAGGTATTACCCTGATCCATGGAAACCTGTGAGGAGAGAAAGCACAAAGACTCTGAGGAAAAGACAAAGTTAGTAATGTGCATTAATGGGACATGAATTCATACAGAAGGAGAGAGAGGAGAGGAGAGAGGAGCTTAGTGTATCATACAAAGTCCCCCAGCAGTATCAGTCTATAGCAGCTTATCTAGGGGCTGGTCCAAGGCAAGCCTGAGCCAGCCCTAACTCTAAACCTGAGTCAGCCCTAACTCTAAACCTGAGTCAGCCCTAACTCTAAACCTGAGTCAGCCCTAACTCTAAACCTGAGCCAGCCCTAACTATAAACCTGAGCCAGCC